GGACCTCGGCGTCACCACTACGCTTCCTGGACACGAGCGGTAAGCAATCGGTACCAAGGCCACCACTGGTGCCCCTTTCACAGCATCCCCCCAGGTCGTCGCGTCCTCCCAGGTTGCTGCGGCTTGCTCGTGTCAGTCGCTCACCCACCCGTCGCTGCTGTGGCACCACCGCCTAGGTCACACCGCACTCTCACGTCTGCGTCACATGTCCCATTACGGTCTTATCTTCGGTTTCCCTGCGTCGCTCTCTGCCCTCCCTCCCTCACCTGCACCGCCGTGCACGCCTTGCACCGAGGGCCGGCTGCGCCATGCTCCTCACTCCTCTTTGCTTCCCCCTACCACTCCGCCACTCCAGACCCTGAACCTGGATGTTTGGGGCCCAGCCCCCGTCCCTGGGCCACGTCGAGAGCGCTACTTTCTAGTGCTTGTCGATGACTACACGTGCTACACCATGGTGTTTCCCCTTGAGCGTAAGGCCGACATGCCTGACGTTCCTATCCCGTGGGTTGTAGCTGCGCGAGTCCATCGCAGCCTCCCTATGCTGCGTCTTTTCTCTGACCGTGGTGGCGAGTTCGCCTCCAATCGGCTTGGCCACTTCTGTCGTGCGGAGGGCATCACCCAGTCATACACCCTGCCGGACTCCCCGCAGCAGAATGGGGTCACTGAGCGATACATCGGTTTGGTCATGCGGGTGGCTCGTGCCTCCATAATCGATGTCGGTGCACCCCATTTTCTGTGCTCGTTCGCGGTTCGCTACGCCGCTCACTAGCTTAACCTAATGGCCACACTCCCAGCGGCCGCAGGTTTCGCCGACCGTTCTCTGGACCGGCTTCCCTGGTGACGCGTATGCGTTCCACGTCTAGGGCTGCCTTGCTCACGTTTGTGCCTCTGGCATGGACAAGCTCACGATGCGCACCGTCCCTTGTGTCTTCCTTGGTTTCCCCCTCGATGCATCTGACTGGCACTTTTACCACACGCCGTCTCACCGTTTCTTTCACTCTCGTAACGTCAATTTTGACGAGTGTGTCTCCTTCTACACCCGCTTTCCTTACCGCGGTCTACCGGTTGACCCGCCCTTGCTCCTGGTCCCCACTCCCACGGTAGCCCCTACTCCTCTTCCTCCCCATTCTGCCCCGTCTAGTGTGTCTCATGTCACTCCCCTCCCGTCGGTTGTCCCGGTGGAGCAATCTGTTGACTCCTGGGGCCCCACGGCTTTGGTTTCGCTTCCAGCCTCTGCCCCGGTGTCTCCTCCTTTGCTGCCGCCGCAGCAGCCGCAGTCACCACCGCAGCCGCAGCATTAGTCGCCGACGTCGCAGCCGCAGCAGCAGCCGCCGTCGTCGCCGCCACAGCAGCAGCCACTGCAGGGGTCCGCGAGCTCTGGGGGTGCGGGCGTTGAGGAGGGTGCTAGTCGTGGGGGTACTGTCGTGGCTTGTCCCGGCGATCCTGGGGGTGGCACCGGAGCTGGAGAGTGTTCTCATTCTGGGGGTGCTGGTTCTGGGGGTGCTATTCCTGGAGGTACTGTTGTGGCTTGTCTCGGTGGTTTGGGGGTGGCACCGGTGATGGAGAGGGTTCTCGTTCTGGGGGTGCTATCGTGAAGCGTCCTGGAAGTAGCCGTGGTGCAGCTGGAGGTTTTTGTGTTGGTGCGGCGCAGCAACAGCAGTCGTCGCCGGTGTCTGCCCTTCGCCTCCTCGGTTTTCCTTCCCCTGACCACCCGCCTTCGCCTCCGCCGCATGTCTACGGCCCTGTGTTTCCTCCGCCAGACTCGTCTCCGGCTCGTTTCCCCCCTCGTTCTCCTCCTGTGTGTCCGTCTGTGTACCCTGACCCGATGCCTCTGTCCCACTTCTGGTCTCGCCGTCCCTCTCGTGGTCGTCATGTCTCTCCGGTTCAGCGCTCTCGCCCTATGTTGCTCCGTTCCCACGTGTCTCGTCCTCCCCTCCTCCCGTCGCCTCCTTCGTCATCGCATGTTGTTGCTCCGGCTCCCCTGTTTGACTTCGTTTGTGCAGCTAGTGCTCTTGTTCCTCGGGTCCTTGCCTCCCTTGTTTCCGATCCGTCCGTTCCTGCCTCTAGTCTTGACGCTCGTGTCGCTGCCGTCACTAACTTTGCCTCTACTCACCGCCTTGACTATGCCACCGCTCTGGTCTCTGGCCCTACCCGTCCTTCGTCTGTCGGGGGTGCTCTATCCCTTGGCAGTGATGTCCTGGAGGACCGGCAGTACGAGCTCGATTTCCTGTCTGAGACCACTCCTCATCTCTGCTCCATGCTGCTAGTCCTTGATGGTGACCGAGACACCTTTGACATCCCGACCCCTCGCACTTACAGTACGCTGAGGCGACCTCGGGACTCTGGGCCTCTCAATGGATAGCTGCCATGAACGCGGAGATGGCATCTTAGATATCCACCGGCACCTACGTCGACGCAGTTCCCCCACCTGGGGTGAACGTAGTCGATGGCCGGTGGCTCTTCATGGTGAAGCGCCCTCCTAAAGTGCTGCCAATGTTCAAGGCGTGCTACGTTGCCAGAGGCTTCAGAAAGCGTGAGGGGGTGGAATTCTTTCGGACTTCTGCCCCGACCCCCTAAGATGACTACTCTTGGGCGTTGCTACACGTAGCAGCACAACGTGACTACGAGTTACACTCCCTCGACTTCTCTATCGCGTTGCTCCAGGGCAGTCTACACGAGCAGGTCTACCTGCGCCGTCCACAGGGCTTCACCGATTCCTTCCCTCCTGGGATCCATTGCCTCCTCCGGCGCCCAGTCTACGGCCTACGATAGGCGCCCCATGAGTGGCACGACACGCTGCGTGCTACACTAGCTGACCTGCAGCTCTTTCCGTCCTCTGTAGACCCCTCGCTCTTCGTTCGTGCTGACCACACTCCGTTCTACATCCTGGTCTACCTCCAGGGCAGTCTACACGAGCAGGTCTATCTGCACCGCCCCCAGGGCTACTCCGGTACCTTGCCCCCTGGTACTGAGTGGCCCCTTCGGCGCCCTGTCTACAGCCTGTGCCAAGCGCCCCGTGAGTGGCACGACACGCTGTGTGCTACACTTGCTGACATGCAATTCTTGCCGTCGTCTGCGGACCCCTCGCTCTTCGTCCGCTCCGGCCAGACTCCGTTCTACATCCTTGTTTGCGTAGACGATCTGGTCTTTGCTACTGCAGACAGAGACGCACTGGCCTCCGTGAAGGCAGAGCTGCTGAGGAGACACACCTGCACTGACCTAGGAGAGTTGCGCTGCTACCTTGGCTTGTAGATCTCCAATGACAGAACAGTGCGCACCATCACTCTCACACAGTCACACTTGGTGCGCCAGGTCCTTCAAAGGTTCGGTCTTCAGTTCTCCTCCGCACAGCCTACACCTCTGCCAGTAGACCATAGGCTCTCTGCTCAAGTTCCTGAGGAGTCAGTAGAGCCTAGTGGTCCTTACGCAGAGCTGGTGGATTGCCTCATATACCTGATGACTTGCACTCGTCCTGATCTCGCATACCCTCTCGGCATCCTGGCTCACTTTGTGGCCACAGGCAGACACCGACCACAACACCGGTTGGCCGCTACTAGGGTTTTGCGTTATCTAACAAGTACATGGGGGATGGGGTTAGCGTTAGGAGGACACTGGCCAGTGGTCCTTACAGGGCACTCAGACGCTTCGTAGGCAGACGACGCTGAGATGCTCAGGTCCTCCCAGGGCTACTGCTTTAGCCTTGGTGCGGGCGCCAACTCGTGGAGGTCGACTCGCTCCTCGTCTGTTGCCCAGTCTAGCTGTGAGGCTAAGATCTACGCTGGTGCCATGGCGGCACAAGAGCTCCGCTGGCTGACTTTCTTGCTCAGAGACTTAGGTGAGCGGCCTAGCTTTGCCCTGGTCCTGTACGCTGACAACAAGGCCATGATCCTCCTGTGTCAGGAGCCTCGTCTGGAGGACAAAGCGAATCACATTCAACTGCGATACTTCCTCCTGCGCGAGCTACAGTAGCGCCACCAGGCACGCGATTGTAAACTTGGCCTCCGGTGCCAATACAGCTGATATCTTTACTAAGGCGCTTGCGCCTAAAGATCATCAGCGGCACTGTGTACAGCTTGGTCTTATTCTTGTAGCTTTTCACTTCCTATGACCTTCATTGTGTACTTCTTATATTATCCTGACTGGCCGTGTGGCTCTTATTCTAGTGGCTGGGCTGGTGGTGCCGCCCTACAGTACTCTTGTTTGGTTTTTTCTCCTGCTGACTGGTCTTCGGACCCTTGCCTCAGAGGTTGGACTAGTAGTGCCACCCTGAGCTGAGTGCCTCTTGCTAAGCACTGCCCCTCTCTAGCCTAGGGGGTGTGTCAAACATATTTGTAGATGTTATTATAGGCTAGATAGGTGCATGGTACAACACACTAGTACAAACTCACCCTGTACTTCCCATTCTAGGCAATCCGTTACTCTGAGAACCAGCCGCGATAGAAAACACTTGGCAAGGTTCAAGGTCCTTTGAACCTGAAGGTATTTTTTTCGCGTGCTTTAAAGCCCAGATCCCAAATTAGTTCACACAAGTCAACGGGCAGAATTTGGGCTGGCTCGGTGGAAGAAACAATTGTGTTATTGAGTGCAAAATCATGTCATGATGTTACTTCGTGCAGGATTTCGTATGCAAACTGGGCCCAGTTTGATTTGGGGGGAGATCAAGTTGGGCCCAACGCGGATCTGATGGCTGAGACGCAGGGACACATGAAGTCCCAATTTGTAAGCACAGTAATACCGTATCCGTCGATTGGAAAACTAGCGAGAGCACGGTTTTGTGGGAGTTGGGGTTTGGGAAGCCCGAACCAACAGCGGAAACTGCACGAATCAAACTGGGCCTTGTTTGCTGACGAAATTTCCACAGTGGATATCCCAACCTCGATTTCGCCTCACTTTGGCGAAGGGGTAGTTGGTTATTTTTTTCATTGGGTGCTTCGCGAGTGCGGTCAGCATCAAACTGGGCCCAGTTTTATGCCTGCTAGACTAATTTGGGGCCTGGGCTTTAACCGGGACAGCGAGCTGGCTGAATGTTGCTGCTGGCTCAACCATAAGGGGATGAATGCAGAAGAACCATTTCAATCCAGCATGGAAGGTTGAACACTCTGCATTCAAGTGATAGATAGGCTTAACCTGTCCTGCTGCAGAGTGTGTTGATCGTCTGTTTTATCCACACCCCTACCTCCCCCACTCCCGCCATCTCTTATATTCCGTGCCTCTAGTCCCACAAGCACATCCTTCACATCCTCAAGTTCGTCGCCATCCCCTCTGCCCGCCACTGCGAGAGACCTTGTTGCAAGCTGACCATCCCTTGTCTTCTCCATCCTCTCCCCATCTCCCTCTGCTCCCCCCCCATCCCCTCGCTCCCCCAGCCCCCAGTCCCTGCCGTCCTCCCCTGCGTCGTCGGCCCTGGCAGCCCCCTGCTGGCTGTCCAGGCGGCTCACGAAGGGCTCCACGCGCACGTTGGGGTGCAGCAGGCGCACCGCCTGGGGGGGCAAGGGGGCCATGGAGACGCGGGGATGGCAGCATTAGCCTGTGGGGCTTCCAGTCGACGACAGAGAGAAGGTAACAGGCACATGGTATGGCATGGCATGGCATGGCATGGCATGGCACGGCATGGCATGGCACGGCATGGCATGGCATGGCATGGCATGGCATGGTACGGGAATGCCTTAGGGAGTAAGGTGCCGGTATGCAGCGGGCAGTGTTCACGTGCAGCTTTTCTGATTGGAGACTAGGCCCGCCGCACCTGCTGCCACATGCATGCCCCCTCCCGCCGGTGGCTCCCACCGGTGGCCCCTTGACATACCTGCACCTGGTGCTACCTGCCTCACCCACCTCCATCTGGCGTTGCAGGTGCCTGATATACTCTATGGCGTCCTCCAACATGTCTGCCGCATTCACCTGGCGCATCCACGCCCCACACGCACACATTAACACGCATATGCGCACGTGCCATGCATGGTACACAAAAACGAGTCAGCCGGTGGGAGAGGGTCATGGATAATAACACAGTGGACGGCAATGAGAGGCACACAGGGGGGCAGAACCGGAGAAGGGCGATTTGTTCCAGCAGGGGGGAAACACAACGGGGGTGATGCCGGGCCCACCAGCGTCACAGCGCAACTGCTTGCCTCACACACCGCATGTGCACCAGCCGTGCCCGCCGCTCAATCCCCCTGTCACTGCCCTTCCTCCCACCCACACCTGCCCTTCCACCCCCCTCACCTGCCCTGCCCTTCCACCCCTCTCACCTGCCATCCCCTTCCACCGCCCTCACCTGCAAGGCACAAAAAAACGGCCTTTTTTTCCCCGTTCTGTACGGTACCGACGTTTTCGACCGATAAAAACGGTTAAATTGTCTTTTTTTTGTCTCCTTAAAAAAAAAAAAAACGATTGTTTGTTTTCGGTCTTTTTTTTTTCAGCCAAAATTATGTCGACGTACATCGGGAATGCGAATTTCCGGGGCTGGTTTATGCCTGGTAAAAAACGAAGCTGGCTGTCGGGTCAACGTTTCCCTGAAGGGTGAAATCCCAAACTGTCAGTTCGTGTTTTTCACTCAATTGACGAAGCCGTTGCGATCCGGTGTACATCTTCGCGACCTGCAACGATGTTTTCGCGCATAGCGCGACACTTGCGATGCATCAGCGACGCGATTATACCAACCCTAGTCTGTACCTCCCATTCTCTTCACCAAACCTCTCTAACATTCCACATTCAAACATCGCCCAACGTCAAACAGGTACTCACATTCCTGAAGCATTTCAACTCGTTTCACATCTGCTTTCTAGGTCTTCCAACTTATAACACAACGCATGGATAGGGGAGGGTAGATGACCTCACCTCGTAGAGAGGTCGGAGAACTGTAGATCCCATAACGGCCCTAGGCCTCAGGGATAATGCCATGAGATGTTTGAGATAGAAAAATGAGTTATTTTCAAGGTAGTGATTTCGTTTTTAAAAACGACGTTCTTTTCCCAAATTCACCAAACAGAACGACCGTAGTATTCGGACTGTATAATACGGAATCCGTTTTTTTGTGCCTTGCTCACCTGCCGTCCCCTTCCACCGCCCTCACCTGCCGGTCCATGCCCGGAATGAGGTCCACCCACCTCACCTCACCTGCCGGTCCATGCCCGGAATGAGGTCCACCCACCTCACCTCACCTGCCGGTCCATGCCCGGAATGAGGTCCACCCACCTCACCTCACCTGCCGGTCCATGCCCGGAATGAGGTCCACCCACCTCACCTCACCTGCCGGTCCATGCCCGGAATGAGGTCCACCCACCTCACCTCACCTGCCGGTCCATGCCCGGAATGAGGTCCACCCACCTCACCTCACCTGCCGGTCCATGCCCGGAATGAGGTCCACCCACCTCACCTCACCTGCCGGTCCATGCCCGGAATGAGGTCCACCCACCTCACCTCACCTGCCGGTCCATGCCCGGAATGAGGTCCGCCAGGAGCTTCATCTTGTCGCTGATGCGCGACCGCCGCACCTGATACAAGCAATGCCAGCCAGTGCACGCATGGGGTAACAGTGCCGTGCGCATGGGGAAAGGAGGTCCGTGCACATGGGGTGCAGGGCAGTGCATAGACATACAATGTGGAAAGTTGAGGTGCAACGTGGTAAGCTGAGGCGTCATGTGGTAAGTTGAGGCGCCATGTGGTAAGCTGTGGTGCAATGTGGTAGATTGAGTCGCAAGGTGGAGAGTACGGCGTGATGAGGTACGCTGAGGTGCAACAGCGTGGCAGGGGGAGAAGGCGGAATGGGGCATGTTTGAAGGCACGGAAGCATGTGTGTGGAGCCACAGGAGCGCGTGGAGTCACAGGAGCGTGTGGAGCCACAGGAGCGTGTGGAGCCACAGGAGCGCGTGGAGTCACAGGAGCGTGTGGAGCCACAGGAGCGTGTGGAGCCACAGGAGCGCGTGGAGCCACAGGAGCGTGTGGAGCCACAGGAGCGTGTGGAGCCACAGGAGCGCGTGGAACCACAGGAGCGTGTGGAGCCACAGGAGCGTGTGGAGCCACAGGAGCGTGTGGAGCCACAGGAGCGTGTGGAGCCACAGGAGCGTGTGGAGCCACAGGAGCGCGTGGAGCCACAGGAGCGTGTGGAGCCACAGGAGCGTGTGGAGCCACAGGAGCGCGTGGAGCCACAGGAGCGTGTGGAGCCACAGGAGCGTGTGGAGCCACAGGAGCGTGTGGAGCCACAGGAGCGTGTGGAGCCACAGGAGCGTGTGGAGCCACAGGAGCGTGTGGAGCCACAGGAGCGCGTGGAGCCACAGGAGCGTGTGGAGCCACAGGAGCGCGTGGAGCCACAGGAGCATGTGGAGCCACAGGAGCGCGTGGAGCCACAGGAGCGTGTGGAGCCACAGGAGCGTGTGGAGCCACAGGATACACCGACGACAAATTCGTGCCTCTCCTTCCCCCTTTCCCATCCGCAACCAAACATCCACCCATCCCTACTTTCATGGTCCCTCCCTACCGTCCCCTCCCTACTTTCATGGTCCCTCCCTACCGTCCCCTCCCTACTTTCATGGTCCCTCCCTACCGTCCCCTCCCTACTTTCATGGTCCCTCCCTACCGTCCCATCCCTACTTTCATGGTCCCTCCCTACCGTCCCATCCCTACTTTCATGGTCCCTCCCTACCGTCCCATCCCTACTTTCATGGTCCCTCCCTACCGTCCCTCCCTACTTTCATGGTCCCTCCCTACCGTCCCATCCCTACTTTCATGGTCCCTCCCTACCGTCCCATCCCTACTTTCATGGTCCCTCCCTACCGTCCCATCCCTACTTTCATGGTCCCTCCCTACCGTCCCCTCCCTACTTTCATGGTCCCTCCCTACCGTCCCCTCCCTACTTTCATGGTCCCTCCCTACCGTCCCATCCCTACTTTCATGGTCCCTCCCTACCGTCCCATCCCTACTTTCATGGTCCCTCCCTACCGTCCCATCCCTACTTTCATGGTCCCTCCCTACCGTCCCATCCCTACTTTCATGGTCCCTCCCTACCGTCCCATCCCTACTTTCATGGTCCCTCCCTACCGTCCCATCCCTACTTTCATGGTCCCTCCCTACCGTCCCATCCCTACTTTCATGGTCCCTCCCTACCGTCCCATCCCTACTTTCATGGTCCCTCCCTACCGTCCCCTCCCTACTTTCATGGTCCCTCCCTACCGTCCCATCCCTACTTTCATGGTCCCTCCCTACCGTCCCATCCCTACTTTCATGGTCCCTCCCTACCGTCCCATCCCTACTTTCATGGTCCCTCCCTACCGTCCCCTCCCTACTTTCATGGTCCCTCCCTACCGTCCCCTCCCTACTTTCATGGTCCCTCCCTACCGTCTCTCGCTTTCGCCCACCCCTCTCAATTTCAAGTCAATCCCTCCCCCTCCTCCCCCTCAGCAGCTCACCAATTGACCCCTCCCTCTCCCCCCCAGCCTCCCCCCGCTCACCCGTTCGGCGATGGAGCGAGGGTGGGTGGCGCAGCCGCGCTTGGCGCGCACCTTGCACAGCACGCCATCTGCCACCGCCGCCGCTCGTGCCTGCCGCTTGCCGTTGCCGCCCCCGCTCACACTCGACCCCCCTACCCCCGCCTCCCCCCTCTCTGCCGGCCCCGCACCCCCTCCTCCCCTGTGCCTGCTGCACCTAGTGCCCTTCCCACTGGGCGGTGTGCGCCGCTGGGGCTGAAGCGAGGCGCGCGCGGGGAGAGCAGGGGGACGGAGGGCGATGGGGCGGACTGAGGGGACAAGGCGGACGGCGGCTGCAGAGGGGGGGAGAGGGGGGGGGAGGAATGAGGGAAAGGAGCGATCAGAGGGGCAGGGTGAATGGGAGAGGAGGGGCGGTGTGGGTTGGAAGGGGAAGAGAGGGAGAGCAGAGCACGCAGGGAACTGTGTGGGTAGCTGCCGTCACTCCTCTCCTCTGTGCCAACCACCCACTCACCATGCCCTCTGTGCCCTCTGTGCCCTCTGTGCCCTCTGTGCTCTGCCCTGTCCCTCCATGCGCCCCTCCCACCCCTGCGTGCGCCCCCCCGCCCGCCATCCAGTGCTGCGGGAGCAGCTGCCCCTCCGCCTGCCCGCGCCCACCACTCCCCACGCCCTCGCCCATCCGCCCAAACCCCCCCATTCCTGCACTCACCTCAAATTCCCCCCCAGGGGATGCTGCACCAGCCAGCAGCCCCTGCTGTACGCGGCTGCTGTAACCCCCCCAGCGCTGCTGCCCCCCACGCCCCTCCCCATCGCCCCCCCACTGCTTCCCCCACCCCCAGCGCCACTCCCCAAGGCGAAGCTGTTTCTCCCCATCATGCCCGCGCCCACATCCAGCCCCCCACGCCCCACGCCCTGCCCCTCGAGTGCGCCCTCCCCCCCGGCCCCCAGCGCCAGAGCCAGTGCCTGCGCCACCTGTGCTGGGGAATGCTGCTGTTGCTGCTGCTGCTGCTGCTGCTGCTGCTGGTGGGCGGCAAAGGGGTGCGTGGGAGGGTGGGCGGTGGCGGGGGGGTCTGCACGAGGCCGTGCAGCTGCATGAGTACCTGCAGGGGCAGCTGCACGCCCTGCCCCGATGCCCCCTGCTGCTGCTGCTGCTGCTGCGCTAGTGATTGGGTGTGGAGATGTGCGGAGTGGGGGCCTGGTGCGGGCGGGTGGCTTAGAGGCAGGGAGGGGTCGGCGGAGGGCAGGGTGAGGCCCAGCAGGCGCAGGTTGGCGCCCGCCTGGTCCAAGTCCGCCAGCTGCGCCTGCGCCTGCTGCAGCAGATCTGCGCTCAAGGGGGGGGGGAGGGGAGAAGGGAGGGGAAAGGCAGGGGGAAGGGAGGTGAGGCATGCAGGAGAAGGAGATGGCGCACAGGAGCCTGGCGACAGGGGCGGGACGGCGCTTGGAGGACACGATGTGCCAGTGGAAACGGTCCTTCACCCCACGCTGCCTGGTGCCACGTGTTGCCCCACTGCCTCCCCTCCTAGTCCCAACGTGCCTGTGAGGTAAGCCGAGTTTGCATTCCCTTGGCCACCAGCAAACGGTTCCCCCTGCGCCATCTCTTGCTGCTGCGCCATGTGGTGCTGCCGCCACTCGCTGGGCGGCAGCGCACTGCCTCCAGCGGCGGCAGCAGCGGGCGAGGTGGAGTGGAAGCCGGCCGCCAGGGAGAGGCTGGTCGTCGTGCGCCGCGCCAACGCCGGCTCCACAGCTTCAGCTTCCCCACCCGCGCCCACGCCCGTGCCACCGCCGTCGCGGCTGCTGCCCAGGTCACTGGAGCCGTCACCTGCGTGCGGCCGCCTTGCCGCCTGCGCTGCGGTGCCTCCAGAGGCAGCGGCGCCGGCGCCTGACGCTGCCGGGTGGGGCGTGGAGGGCGCAGGCACGTGTGGCGGCGGGGTGAAGGGGAAGGGCGGCAGGCCATCGGCGGCGGGCGGGCTGAAGGGGAAGTATGCGGAGGGCAGGGCGGGGGACGGCGACAGATGGGGCCACATGGGCGTGGGGGCTGAAGGCGCTGATGGGGCCGATGGGGCGGATGGGGATGTGCACTGGTGAGGGCCAGCAGAGGCGGCGACGAGTTGCGAGTAGAGGAGGTGGTAGGCGGGAGACATGGCGCTGGCAGGTACGGGCAAGGCCTGCGCCGCAGGGAATGATGTCATGCTGCCCGCTGCTGCTGCTGCAGCTGGTGACGGTGACGCTGCTGCCGCACTGGGTGCATCCATGCTGCTGCTGCTGCTGCTGCCGCTGCTGCCGCTGCTGCCGCTGCTGGGGGTGCTGCAAATGGAGATGGGTGTGGAAGCAAGCAGGCATGCGGGTGGGGAGGATCATAGGGCGAGAGTCGAGCGAAGGGTTCAAGCGTAAACGCAGCGGTGGCCTTCATACGCTCCTCCCACGAGTTGTGTCTAGAGTCGCAGCGGCTGCGTTCCAACGTCCGCAGACGTTACCCCCGCCGTGCGCACAAGCCACGCTGGCGGCAGGCACGTGGAAGGGTGGATCAGGGGGGCGACCGGATAGCTTCGCCCTGGGAGGGCGAGGATAAGAGGCGAGGGCAGAGGGACGAGCGAACTTCGAAGTTCAAAGGTTGACGGAGAGAGTAGAGTAACGAGACAAGCGCGCGGGAAAGGAGGAGGGTGAGTAGGACTGCGAGCACTTTTATCCCTTGTCGTTTTCTTCTGAACAGGAACGACTGTTACACTATTATCTCCTGCCCCTCTGTTCTCCTTATCTCCACTTCCACCCTTCCCTTCTCCCTCCCCCGTACACCTCTCCGCTGCTCACTTTCTCTCTCGCCTCTCCTACTTCTTTCTCGGTTCCTTACTCTCCTTTTGCCTTGGCTCATCTCTCACGAGGTTGAGGCATTAGAGCCAGGGCTCGCGCGAGAAATACGGCAGACTTCAATCACTCGCTCTGCTACCGCTCGCTCTCCCAGCATCTAAGCTTGACTGGGGGTCTGGGGTGTTGCAAGTAGCAGTCGTCGGTGAGGAACAGTAGGAGGCGAAATATGGCAAGAAACTTAGATGTGCGGTGAAGGTGGTTTGCCCTTATCTTTTCTGAGCACGAATTGCCGGCTTTGGAAGGTGGGATTGTGTGGATGGAGTGGCGCGGAATCTGCACCTGGTGGTGGATCCCCCCGCCAGCAGCAGCCAGCGCCAGCAGCAGCACTCTCTCCGCCGCCAGAACTCAGCAAGCCCCGCCCCGTCGAAGGCCAATCCAGCCCGTTGCACGATTCCTCCCCAACCTGCTCCGCCGCCTCCACTTGCGCACGCTGCACGCCCGCCCTCGCGACAATTCGTCTGTCCGCGCCCACGAGTGCCTCGCCAACTGGCGCGCTGGGTTCGGTCTGTGCAGTCAGCCGAGGCAGTGACGGGGGGGCGGGGGGCAGAAGCGAGAGATCGAACGCCAATCAAACTTCGAGATCGTTTGGGGCGACGACAGGCGAAATGACAACTGTTGTGAGGAAGCGAACAAAAACCGGGAAGTGTGGCGAATGGTCGTCCGAACAGTGTTCAAGACTTCGTCCTTTACCCGCCAAAGGACGTTCAAGGCCAGCTCCACGCCTTCAGTGCAGGGCTCTCGGTTCAAGGGTAAACATCCAGAATTTCATGTACATTTCGGGTCTTTCTCGATGAAATCCAGATTTTGAGGTTTTCAGACTCCCAAATCTCCTGACTGATTTCGGACGTTTTCAAGGAAGTCCCTGATCAATCCGGTCTGCACGATGATTTCTCCTGGCCATCGGACTGGCATGTAAAATCACCCGTGCCAGCAGTGCAAACCCCCACCTCTCTGCCACATCTTCCCCTCTACACCCCATGCTCCCCTGACTAATTTTCCATGCAATCTGAAGGTGCGACCAGTGGAACTACACAGCCGCACTAAGTGCAGGGCGGTCAGACCAATCACACGCCCTTAGTCAGGTTGGACATGCAAAGTGTCGACCTTGGTGTGGTGGTGAGGGACAGCAGTAGCTGCAATTGTGTGTTCGTATTCTCTTCCATAGTCACTTCCATCTAAGTCTTTCCCGCTTGTGAGGACTCCGACTGCCCACAGGTTCTACTGATGCAGGGCGTCCAAAAAACACTCTGAGTTCGTAGAAAAACTTTAATGAAGAGAGATTTTCCCGGGAATTCTGATTTTCCAGGATCTTTAGTGACGAGAACCCTGAGAACCCTGGGTCTTGAAAAACGAAAAATTAGCCCTGCTACAGTGCTGTGGGTGGGGGGCTGTTGCTCGCTGCAGTCGCCAGAATTTTCTGGCCACCTCATTGTGTTGCATACACCTGATTGCCGTACATATCCTGTATAAGGGAAGGGGCTCATACCGTTAACTCTATTAAGAACATCCCAAATCATTATCTCAAGCATTTCATAGACAAGCAAGCCAGGAAAATAAGCCAGCTGAAACAATACATCATCCTTCCAACATTGTGAATGACGGTCGTTTCAGACCATTACGCCAAACCAAGGAATTGCAGGCAAGCCTGACGAATCAGACACCCCCAAAACCAATTTGGGGGCCTGATTACCACTGTTCGAATCAGCCAAGCTCTCACAATCTACATTTGCAACATGTTATGTGTTATTTCCCTCTAATCTGCAAAATTGGGGGCCAGCTGGCATTGTTTTTGCCCAAGCCATGTCTTGTCATGAAGGCGAATGCACGGAGGAGATGACGGCATGAGGGCATCCCAAGAGGGGGCCATGACGAAAAGTGTGGAGGTGAGGGCACAAGCCAGCCTGGAACCCAGTCGCCAAGGACTGTCAAAATTGCTGGCAGCAGCAACACGCCATTTGCTGCTTCCACACCCCCCTCTGTCCTTCTCCCTCTTGCCCTCCAGTATGTGATAGCATTTGAAGTACTCGCTCGCTGCCTTTCTGCCCTCCTGTCCCTGTGTGCGGCATGGCAGCGCAAGATGGCTCTGCCTACTGGCTCTGCACTCCCCCTCGCAGTGCTGCTCCACTGCATTCACGCTGCTGCTAGACCACTCTAGAAAGTGAGCCCACACATCATAAACAAGCACGTGCACATGTTGCATCCACGCATACAAGCACTCGTGCGAATGCAAGGGCGTGCACCGCGCTGCTCCCACATAGCTCGTGTTACGTCTCCAGTCCTCTCCCCCCCCCCCAACACCACAACCCCTCCGCCTGCTCCTCCCTGCCCCTGCCACACTTTCCCCCTGCGCCTGCCACTTGCCCCCTGCCCCTGCCACTTGCCCCCTGCGCCTGTCATTTGCCCCCTGCCCCTGTCACTTGCCCCCTGCGCCTGTCACTTGCCCCCTGCCCCTGTCATTTGCCCCCTGCCCCTGTCACTTGCCCCCTGCGCCTGTCACCTGCCCCCTGCGCCTGTCACCTGTCCCCTGCCCCTGTCACTTGCCCCCTGCCCTGTCACTTGCCCCCTGCCCCTGTCAATTGCCCCCAGCGCGTGTCACTTGCCCCCCGTGCCTGTCACTTGCCGCCTGCCCCGGTGCGCTTGAGCGAGGCAAAGAAGCCGCCTCTCTTCTCCCGCCGCCTGTGCTCGCCCTCGCCCTCATCCTCCACCTGCCAGCGCGGTACACTCACGGCACGCACACCGAGGGTAGGGGCACACAGAGAGGGAGAGAGAGGGGATGGAACGTGGAAGAGGGGGAAAAGGGGGAAAGTTTGGTGGGAAACGAGTGGGGTGAAAGGAGTGGGATGAAAGGAGTGGGGTGAAAGGAGTGAGGTGAAAGGAGTGGGGTGAAAGGAGTGGGGTGAAAGGAGTGGGGTGAAAGGAGTGGGATGAAAGGAGTGGGGTGAAAAGAGTGGGGTGAAAGGAGTGGGGTGAAAGGAGTGGGATGAAAGGAGTGGGGTGAAAGGAGTGGGGTGAAAGGAGTGGGATGAAAGGAGTGGGGTGAAAGGAGTGGGGTGAAAGGAGTGGGGTGAAAGGAGTGGGGTGAAAGGAGTGGGGTGAAAGGAGTGGGATGAAAGGAGTGGGGTGAAAGGAGTGGGGTGAAAGGAGTGGGAAAAAGGGACGGCATTGCCACCTCCTTTTCAAAAAGTGTCTGCCAGCATGACCTCTCACTCACCTCGTGCGCCATGTCAGAGAGCATGCGGAGGACGTGGCTGAACTCAGGGCGCTCCACTGGGTTGGAGTGCCAGCACCGCGCCATCAGCTCCGCCAGCCGCGGGTGCGTGCCCTTCGGGATGGCCGGCCGCAGACCCTGGGGGCGGTGGGGGGGGGGTGAGAGCAAGAGCGTCACTGAAGAGGGTGTGGCTCGGTGCAACGTGTGCGGCGCGGTGCAGAACATAGAGCATGCATCACCGCCCTCCACTCCCCACGACCCCTCCTCACCTTCTGAACCACGCTGACAGCGGCTTGCAGGGGTGTGAGATCCGCGTATGGCAGCTGCATGGAGAGGCCACACGCACAGGCACGGCCACAGGCACACACACGACCCCAGACACACGTAAGCTGCGACACATGCATCAAAATGACTGCTTATGCACAGGAGAAACGACTCATACAAATGTTCTCTCAGGTCTCTCAGAAACGACTTCATGAGCAAACCCTGATGACACCTTGCCCTCCATTCACAACTCCTTGCCTCTCACCTTCCCCATGACCTCCCCTCTCACCTTCCCTGTGAGCACCTCCCCTCTCACCTTCCCCGTGAGCAGCTCCCAGAGCGTGATGCCAAAGCTGAAGACATCCGCCTTGTGGTCGTACGCGCGGTGCTCGATCACCTGCCATGCGCGGCGCACATGGTACACGGGCGGTTGAGTTTTGGGGCGGTTGATGCAGGTGGAACAGCAACCAGCACCAAGGGGCGGTTGATGCAGGTGGAACAGCAACCAGCACCAAGGGGCGGTTGATGCAGGTGGAACAGCAACCAGCACCAAGGGGCGGTTGATGCAGGTGGAACAGCGAACAGCACCAAGGGGCGGTTGATGCAGGTGGAACAGCAAACAGCACCAAGGGGCGGTTGATGCAGGTGGAACAGCAACCAGCACCAAGGGGAGCACAGAGCGAGCAGATCCTCCACATCCTGCAATCTCTGTGTGCTTGAAGGCAACGGACCTACAGCACGCACCCATCGTACCGCACCCACTCATGTGGGTATGGTCATGTACCGCCAATACCCCCACACTCAATCACACCATAGCCAGTGCATGCCCCATGACCGCACGGTACCTCGGGCGCCATCCAGCAGTACGCACCTCAGGCGCCATCCAGCGGTACGCACCTCGGGCGCCATCCAGCGGTACGCACCTCGGGCGCCATCCAGCGGTACGTGCCGGTCTCGGCCGTCATGATGCCACTGCCCGCCTTCACCCGTGCCACACCAAAGTCCGCCACCTTCACCACCTGCCGCCGGGGGGGAGGCGTCACGGGGCATGGGGCATGGGGCACGGGGCATGGGGCATGGGGCATGGGGCACGGGCCATGGGGCACGGGGCATGGGACACGGGGCATGGGGCACGGGGCATGGGGCACGGGGCACGGGGCATGGGGCACAGGGCATGGGGCACGGGGCATGGGGCATTGGGCACGGGGCATGGGGCACAGGGCTTTGGGCACGGGGCATGGGGCACGGGGCATGGGGCATGGGGCACGGGGCATAGGGCATGGGGCATGGGGCACGGGGCATGGGACACGGGGCATGGGGCACGGGGCACAGGGCACGGGGCACGGGGCATGGGGCACAGGGCATGGGGCACGGGGCATGGGGCATTGGGCACGGGGCATGGGGCACAGGGCATTGGGCACGGGGCATGGGGCACGGGGCATGGGGCATGGGGCACGGGGCATAGGGCATGGGGCATGGGGCACGGGGCATGGGGCATGGGCATGGGGCACGGGGCATGGGGCACGGGGCATGGGGCATGGGGCATGGGGCACGGGGCAAGGGGCACGGGGCATGGGACACGGGGCACGGGGCATGGGGCGCGGGGCATGGGGCACGGGGCATGGGGCATGGGGCACGGGGCATGGGGCACGGGGCATGGGGCACGGGGCATGGGGCATGGGGCACGGGGCATGGGGCATGGGGCATGGGGCATGGGGCATGGGGCATGGGGCATGGGGCATGGGGCATGGGGCATGGGGCACGGGGCACGGGGCATGGGGGGCACGGGATGATGCACGGGAATGCGGGGTGGTATGGGGATGACGTCAGCCATCAAGGGCGGCGCGGTGCCTGCAGGGCAGCAGAGAGGAGCACTGTGCCTGCAGGGCAGCAGAGAGGAGCACTGTGCCTGCAGGGCAGCAGAGAGGAGCACTGTGCCTGCAGGGCAGCAGAGAGGAGCACTGTGCCTGCAGGGCAGCACAAATGAGCACTGTGCCTGCAGGGCAGCACAAAGGAGCACTGTGCCTGCAGGGCAGCAGAGAGGAGCACTGTGCCTGCAGGGCAGCAGAGAGGAGCACTGTGCCTGCAGGGCAGCAGAGAGGAGCACTGTGCCTGCAGGGCAGCAGAGAGGAGCACTGTGCCTGCAGGGCAGCAGAGAGGAGCACTGTGCCTGCAGGGCAGCAGAGAGGAGCACTGTGCCTGCAGGGCAGCAGAGAGGAGCACTGTGCCTGCAGGGCAGCAGAGAGGAGCACTGTGCCTGCAGGGCAGCAGAGAGGAGCACTGTGCCTGCAGGGCAGCAGAGAGGAGCACTGTGCCTGCAGGGCAGCAGAGAGGAGCACTGTGCCTGCAGGGCAGCAGAGAGGAGCACTGTGCCTGCAGGGCAGCAGAGAGGAGCACTGTGTCTGCAGGGCAGCAGAGAGGAGCACTGTGCCTGCAGGGCAGCAGAGAGGAGCACTGTGCCTGCAGGGCAGCAGAGAGGAGCACTGTGCCTGCAGGGCAGCAGAGAGGAGCACTGTGCCTGCAGGGCAGCAGAGAGGAGCACTGTGCCTGCAGGGCAGCAGAGAGGAGCACTGTGCCTGCAGGGCAGCAGAGAGGAGCACTGTGCCTGCAGGGCAGCAGAGAGGAGCACTGTGCCTGCAGGGAAGCACAGAGGAGCACTGTGCCTGCAGGGCAGCAGAGAGGAGCACTGTGCCTGCAGGGCAGCAGAGAGGAGCACTGTGCCTGCAGGGCAGCAGAGAGGAGCACTGTGCCTGCAGGGCAGCAGAGAGGAGCACTGTGCCTGCAGGGCAGCAGAGAGGAGCACTGTGCCTGCAGGGCAGCAGAGAGGAGCACTGTGCCTGCAGGGCAGCAGAGAGGAGCACTGTGCCTGCAGGGCAGCAGGAGCAGAGAGGAGCACTGTGCCTGCAGGGCAGCAGAGAGGAGCACTGTGCCTGCAGGGCAGCAGAGAGGAGCACTGTGCCTGCAGGGCAGCAGAGAGGAGCACTGTGCCTGCAGGGCAGCAGAGAGGAGCACTGTGCCTGCAGGGCAGCAGAGAGGAGCACTGTGCCTGCAGGGCAGCAGAGAGGAGCACTGTGCCTGCAGGGCAGCAGAGAGGAGCACTGTGCCTGCAGGGCAGCAGAGAGGAGCACTGTGCCTGCAGGGCAGCAGAGAGGAGCACTGTGCCTGCAGGGCAGCAGAGAGGAGCACTGTGCCTGCAGGGCAGCAGAGAGGAGCACTGTGCCTGCAGGGCAGCAGAGAGGAGCACTGTGCCTGCAGGGCAGCAGAGAGGAGCACTGTGCCTGCAGGGCAGCAGAGAGGAGCACTGTGCCTGCAGGGCAGCAGAGAGGAGCACTGTGCCTGCAGGGCAGCAGAGAGGAGCACTGTGCCTGCACGGCAGCAGAGAGGAGCACTGTGCCTGCAGGGCAGCACAAATGAGCACTGTGCCTGCAGGGCAGCAGAGAGGAGCACTGTGCCTGCAGGGCAGCAGAGAGGAGCACTGTGCCTGCAGGGCAGCAGAGAGGAGCACTGTGCCTGCAGGGCAGCAGAGAGGAGCACTGTGCCTGCAGGGCAGCAGAGAGGAGCACTGTGCCTGCAGGGCAGCAGAGAGGAGCACTGTGCCTGCAGGGCAGCAGAGAGGAGCACTGTGCCTGCAGGGCAGCAGAGAGGAGCACTGTGCCTGCAGGGCAGCAGAGAGGAGCACTGTGCCTGCAGGGCAGCAGAGAGGAGCACTGTGCCTGCAGGGCAGCAGAGAGGAGCACTGTGCCTGCAGGGCAGCAGAGAGGAGCACTGTGCCTGCAGGGCAGCAGAGAGGAGCACTGTGCCTGCAGGGCAGCAGAGAGGAGCACTGTGCCTGCAGGGCAGCAGAGAGGAGCACTGTGCCTGCAGGGCAGCAGAGAGGAGCACTGTGCCTGCAGGGCAGCACAGAGGAGCACTGTGCCTGCAGGGCAGCAGAGAGGAGCACTGTGCCTGCAGGGCAGCAGAGAGGAGCACTGTGCCTGCAGGGCAGCAGAGAGGAGCACTGTGCCTGCAGGGCAGCAGAGAGGAGCACTGTGCCTGCAGGGCAGCAGAGAGGAGCACTGTGCCTGCAGGGCAGCAGAGAGGAGCACTGTGCCTGCAGGGCAGCAGAGAGGAGCACTGTGCCTGCAGGGCAGCAGAGAGGAGCACTGTGCCTGCAGGGCAGCAGAGAGGAGCACTGTGCCTGCAGGGCAGCAGAGAGGAGCACTGTGCCTGCAGGGCAGCACAAAGGAGCACTGTGCCTGCAGGGCAGCACAAAGGAGCACTGTGCCTGCAGGGCAGCAGAGAGGAGCACTGTGCCTGCAGGGCAGCACAAAGGAGCACTGTGCCTGCAGGGCAGCACAAAGGAGCACTGTGCCTGCAGGGCAGCAGAGAGGAGCACTGTGCCTGCAGGGCAGCAGAGAGGAGCACTGTGCCTGCAGGGCAGCAGAGAGGAGCACTGTGCCTGCAGGGCAGCAGAGAGGAGCACTGTGCCTGCAGGGCAGCAGAGAGGAGCACTGTGCCTGCAGGGCAGCAGAGAGGAGCACTGTGCCTGCCTCATCCTCAACCGTCCCCACTGCATCTGGCATCCTTCTTCTCACCCCTCCCCTCCGCACTGCACCTCATTTTCGTCAATAGCGGGGTGGGGGGGTGGGCAGTGGGCGCACCTCGTTTTCGTCCATGAGGAGGTTGGCGGCCTTGAGATCGCGGTGGATGATGTTGTTCTTGTGCAGGAAGTCCATGCCCTTCGCCACGTCCACCGCCACGCGCACCACCATGGGCAGCCGCATGCTGCCGCGCTGCTTGTGGATGTAATCGTACACGCTGCCGCCCACCATGAACTCTGCGCACATGGCCACCATGAAACAACATGAACCATGCACGCAAGGTGGCACAGAGATGGCACGCAAGGTGGCACAGAGGGGGGGCGATGGCAGCATGGTATGAGTGGGTGCACCGGCATGGTATGAGTGGGTGCACCGGCACCTTGGCATCATTGTCTCCAATGAGTCTGGTCCCCTTGGTCTACCTAAGCTTCAACTTCAATTCACCAAGTCCCCTTGGTGCACCATTAAACAGGATGTACCAAACCTATGGTTAAGAATCATTTTTTGTACTTGAGCAGAGCTGCTTCGCAGCACACATATGGTAAATACCAAACAATAGCTAAGTATCAAGCCTCTGGCTAGTATTGAATTTACTATAGTAACACATTGATACTTCACATCTGACCAGGACCAGTATCAAACATCTGGGGGAGTATGTGACATATTGTAAGTATCGAACCATGCTTGCCACGTAGCCCCTCTTATTCCGCCTCCCCCCCCCCCCCCTCTGTGTGGCTACTGCATGCTGTGACTAGAAAGATGTTCAAAACCTACTCTGGTTCGAATGTCCGTTTGGTGGCGCACCTATGACTTCAAAGTGGTTGCTGTGCATACCTGTGACTATAGAGAGGTTAGGTGGTTTCGTGCAGGCTCCAATGAATTGAACCACGTTCTTATGGCGAACCTTCCTGTTAAGGTGAAGGGTTGTCATGCCACACACAGGACGAGGGGCAGCAGGACGAGGCGCAGCAGGACGAGGCGCAGCAGAGTGCACGAGGTGGTGGAAGAGGGGTCAACAGGCACTGGCATGGCAAGCTACACTTCCCAAAATTGCATTATGTAAGACAACACCATCACATAAGTTTGCCCCATTATGTACACTTCGTGAACCCTCACCTCATCATGCACCCCTCGCCTCCTGATGCACCCCTCACCTCCTGATGCACCCCTCACCTCATGATGCACCCCTCACCTCATGATGCACCCCTCACCTCATGATGCACCCCTCACCTCATGATGTACCCCTCACCTCATGATGCACCCCTCACCTCATGATGTACACCTCCTGGGCAAACTCCTGTTGCAGGGAGTCGTTGAGCCGCTCGGGCTTTAAGATCTTGATCGCCACGTCCTGCCCACAGTACGTGCCGCGGTACCTGGTGCCGTGTCATGCCACGCCCACGCCATGCCACACCATGCCATGCCGTGAAAGGCACACGAAGTCAGGACACGGCACTAAGCAGGTTGATTCAAACACAGCGAATTAAACCAACCCCCATCCCCGTGTGCCATGCCCGCCACTGACAGGTCGCCAAAGGAGCCCGAGGCGATCTTGTGGTGCAGCTTGAGCTGCTGGCTGTCGATCTCCCAGTCGTCCCGCCCGTCTGACGGGATCGGCACCCGCGACTCCGCACCCGACACCAGCGACCCCGCCAGGTGCGACCCTGGTACGTGCCCCACTGCGGCCGGCGCGGACATGCCTGCTGACTCTGACATGGCAGGGCCGGGCGCCGACTGCATCGACTGGCCTGACGCCTCTGGCTGCATGGAGAGAGCTGCACCCGCCCCCATCTGGGAGAGACGGATAAATGAGGGGCAGCACGTGCGTTTGATGGGTGAGTTTGATGGGTGCGTTTGATGGGTGAGTTTGATGGGTGAGTTTGATGGGTGCGTTTGATGGGTGCGTTTGATGGGTGCGTTTGATGGGTGAGTTTGATGGGTACGTTTGATGGGTACGTTTGATGGGTGCGTTTGATGGGTGCGTTTGATGGGTGCGTGCAGGTGGAGAAAGAGGAGAGGGGACGAGCGTGCGATGTGGCAGCAGGCAATGGAAAAATGGAGTGCATGTGCGCACATTGCGTGAATGTGGAGAGCTGCATGTCCCGCAGCACGCAAGGCTGTACAAAGGCATCAATTGTTCCACCAATGTGTGCAGCTTGGAATGCGAGAAGCAAGGGCGTGGGTCTGACCTGCAGCACTCGCACCAACGCTGCGTGGAGGTCTACCACGTCCTGGCAGGCCGCAGCACACGGCACACGGCACACACACGCCAGGCGACAGGGAGACAGGGGGGATGGGGAGGGAAGGGGCTTGTGAGGAATAAGATGACCTGACAGCGCTGAGGAGGGGCATGGCGCCACAAGGCGACAGCTGTACCTGGGTGGGCCGTACCTGGGTGGGCCGTACCTGGGAGGACTGCAAGGCGCACCTCGGTGGGGTGCAAGGCGCACCTGGGTGGGCTGCAAGGCGCACCTGGGTGGGCTGCAAGGCGCACCTGGGTGTGGTGCAAGGCGCACCTGGGTGGGGTGCAAGGCGCACCTGGTGTGGTGCAAGGCGCACCTGGGTGGGGTGCTAGGCGCACCTCGGTGGGCCAGCCGTCGACGACGAAGACGTCGAGGGAGAGCCCATCGGACGTGGAGAAGACGTGCGCCTCGCGGATGTTGAGCCCCGCGTCCGCCAGCACCGCCGACAGCTGCCACCACAGGCGGAAGGGGAGGGGGGAGGGGAGCGGGGGGAGGGAGGGAGGGGATGGGAGGGAGGGGATGGGAGGGAGGGGATGGGAGGGGGTTCAAAGGGAAAGGATGTCCAAAGGAAGAGGATTTGATGGTGTGGTGCTGGACAGTAAACACCTTCCTGACCACTTATCACCTGGCTAAGCACGTATCGCCCACCTGGCAGAGCAGGTACCACTGGCCTGGCTGAGCACGTATCCCCCACCTGGCTGAGCAGGTACCACTGGCCTGGCTGAGCAGGTACCACCCACCTGGCTGAGCAGGTACCACTGGCCTGGCTGAGCAGGTACCACCCACCTGGCTGAGCAGGTACCACTAGCATGGCTAAGCACGTATCCCCCACCTGGCTGAGCAGGTACCACTGGCCTGGCTGAGCAGGTACCACCCACCTGGCTGAGCAGCTTGGGGCGGTCGAAGGTGGAGAAGGTGACCTCGTGCATGGGCACGTTGTAGTATGGCGCGCTGCCACAGGGGGCAGGGTTGCCAAACGGTGGGAGGGGCGCATGGGAGGGCGCAGGAGGGAGCAGCGACGGGCATGAGGTGGCAGGGGCAGCGAAGGTGGATGTGTTGTGGGGTGGGGTGGGGTGGGGTGGGGTGGGGTGGGCGGATAACTGGCGGTGCTGGCTGCCAACGCCACACCCATGTTACTGCCCTCATGGCGCCACACCCATGTTACTGCCCTCATGGCGCCACACTCATGGCGCCAGAGAGCCAGAGAGCCAGAGAGCCAGAGAGCCAGAGAGCCAGAGAGCCAGAGAACCAGAGAGCCAGAGAGCAGACACCTCTGGCCGATCCAGGGCCGCAGCAGCCTCTAGAGCCCCTCTCTCTCTCACCACCACCGCCTCAACCCATGGCCCCACACCACACGCTACACGCCACACGCCACACGCCCCATTGTGCCCGCCACCAGTCGACCGCGCCTGTATGGTCGTACCTGAGGGACCCATGCTGGTCGTACCTGAGGGATCCATGCTGGTCGTACCTGAGGGATCCATGCTGGTCGTACCTGAGGGACCCATGCTGGTCGTCCTCCATGGCGCCCGCGCCCTGCCCGCCGCCCTGCACCGGCGCATCCAGGTTCGGCGACGACCCAAACGCTGGCGGCGCTAGCGCGCTGAACGAGAGTGCGGGGTGAGGGCGGGGGAGGGGGAGGGGGAGGGGGAGGGGGAGGGGGAGGGGGGTGTGTCAAACTGGCAGGTTGGAGAGACGCAACGCGTGGAGATGAGGAGATGAGGAGAATGGGCGGGAAGGAACGGGAGGTGCAGAAGAAGACAAGGGGGAGGGAGGGGGAGATGCGTGCGCGCAGGCGTGAAAGCGGCGATGGCAGAGGACGGGCCAGCAGGAGCGCGCTGGGCGAGGGAGGGGTGCGAGGGGCGGTTACCCCTGGGGGTGCAGGGCGGCGGGGAGGTGGTGGTCCGTGTCCATGCTGGCGGGCTGCCCCTCCTCGCCCGCTGCTGCGCCGCCCGCCGCCACCATCTGCGGGGAGCGCAGCACGAATGCACGCACGGAGGGGCGCACAGTGGGACCTCAGCGGCGGGCTTGCTCAAGCGCGCATGGCGCTGCGCCAGGCATGCCTTGGGAGGGGCAGCGGGGGGCGCAATGAGGGATGGACGAGGGAGCGAGCAGCGAGAGCAGCGCGAGCAGCGCGGGGGGGTGGGGGGAGGAGGGGGGGGTGGGGAGAGGGGGGAGCGCGAGCGCGGGCGCGAGGTGGTACCCGGACGGCGCGGACGAAGAAGACGGGCAGCCCGTGCAGGCGTGCGGCCTCCTCCAGCAGGCGCTTGTGCGTCAACACGTCCTCCGCGCGCTCCGTGTTCACGTCCAACGCGTACCTGCCGCCACGTGGCGCGCCATGCATTGCACGCCATGCCATGTCACGCCATGCATTGCATTGTTGCACCATGCCATCCCACGGACAAAGGCGCACGCGCAAGCAGCGCCAGCACACAACGGGTCAGGCCGAGCGATGGGACGACGAGTCACTCTGGCTGCCAGTGAGCAACCGCGCCCATGGAGTCGAGTGTGGCCACGGCGGCGAAGCGCGGCCAAGGGTTGGGGCCAGACGGTGGTCGACTCGCCTGGTGGGGAGGTCGACTCGCCTGGTGGGGAGGCGGTTGAAGTGCGCGTGGAGGTCGTTCTCGATGCCGGCGGCCTGCAGGCACGGGTGGCGCGCCTCGCGCAGCTTGCGCAGCACCTCGTCGCACACCTCCCGCTTCACGCGCTGCCGCTGCCGCCTCTCCGCCTCCCCCGCCGCGCCTGTCGCCGGGCGATCGCCGCTCGACGAGGGAGCGGCGGGATCCATGCGGTGGCGCTGGTCGGCGCCTAGCGACACATTCACCTGCCGCTGCCGATCAGCCTCGCCGCTACTCGTCTCACGCTCGGCCGACGGCCAGGCCGAGGGGAGGCTCGAGAAAACGAGAGAGACCTTCGGGACCGAGGAAAGGGGGAGTTACTCGAGGCAGGCAATCTGCACGAGAACGGGTGGGCCTCGCAGGGACGGCGTGCGTCCGAAAGGAGCGGGCAGCTTAGTCTTCCCTACCCTACCGATCGCGCTGCGCGAAGAATGGAGACGAGGCAAACGGGGTCGCGAAGGGATGGCACCATTGCCCTACTGGCCTCGGTAGTGCATGCAGTAGCTGCGGCTAGCAGCGCAAGCTCCTCGAGTCTCGGAGCCAAAATAGCACCTGAATATGGACGTTACTCTCGACGCTACTCTGGGCGCTACTCTGGGTAGCGTCGGACAGCAGCGGTGCTGCTAGACCAGTCGAGAACCACTGATGCTATCTATAGGCTGGACTGGAGCCATGAATGGAAGATGCGGACTGTGATTCGAAACAGCCAGCCACAAACAGGAACATGGATTTGCCCATGTGGTCGCTTGGGCTCTGTCGTACCCTTTTCTCCACGAGGGGGAATTCCTGAAAGGGTTCAAATGCAGAAGGGTTCTTTCCAGAATTCAGAGTGCTTTCCGTGCTTCGGATAGGTTAAGCCCCTGAATTTTGTTGATGGTGAAGTGGGTTTCGGGGGGTGTAGAAGGGAGTTTGCCCCAATATTTGAAAGACCCTGATCATGGCGAAACTCGCTATCCAGCCCACAATAGTTGCCCTTTCAGTACACTCGTGCTGCATGCCTCTGAAATCTCTGATCGCTTTCCAACCCAGACCTAACCAATCAGGGCAGCACCGAAGTTCCACTCTCGAACCAACGCCACACCATCCTGCTTTTGGTGGCTCCAAAAACTCTGATGGGGCAGCACGCCAGCACCTGACTGGAAGAATTCCCCTGAACCGCAGCAGCGTTGGTCCACAAACCAACCATTCCCCAAGGTTCGCGAGCACCAACATTGGCCCACAATGCAGCCAATGTTCACTCACGGGTCCTCCTGACCCGTATCGAGATGACACTCTCCGAGGAACAGTGCCGACAGAATTTAGGACAAGCCCATTCATATTGCGTTCCCACAGAAGCAAACCCCATGAGTGATGATGATGTACATAGCGTAGAGTAAAGCAGGGTCTGGTGGTAAATTTCATAGACGTGAAAGGTACCAGTAGCTATCCTAAAGCTACGTTGCAAAAGTCATGTGCAATACGTTGCAAAAGTCATGCGCAATATGTTGCAAAAGTCATTCGCAATGTCGTACATCAGTTTCCGTATTGTACCACTTGCCCTTGTGGACATGGCCCAAAATAACCCAATGCCCATCAATATATTGCACAAAGTTTGTCTCCTTGTAGGCTTCGCTATTGAACGAAATACAGCACAAAAACTATGTACATATCTTTGCACGAGCAAAGAAATATGCCTGCTGAAGGCTGCTGTGGCGTCTACTTTGTCTGGCACATCAGTTGCCGCCCCCGTGGCCCGTGCGTCGCTTGCTGAGCTCCTGTGCCACCGACTCCGCCACGTACTCCCGCGCCCACTCCCCCACCCGCACCCCCTCCACCAGCACTGGCGCCTGGGGGGGGATTGGAAAAGAGGGGGAGGGGGGGGGGGGAGAGAAAGGGGGGAGGAGGTGGTGAGCACAGTGCAAGCGCACACACACGCGGTCAGAGCGGGGTGCGAGCAGCAGAAGCAGGGGATCAGGGGGCCTGAGGCAGGTGTGCGGTGCAGCGGGGCATCGAACACGAGCGGGACGGGGTCTGATCGGATGCGGAGCACAGAGTGCTGCAGCCGGGAGGGCGTGAGCGAACCTCACCTGCTGGAGAATGCTCATCGCAGCAAGGCTGCTGGCGGGGCTGAGGCTGCTGGTGAGGGTGGTGCTGGTGGCGTGGGCAGCGGCCTCGGTAGGGTGCCAAGAAGTGTGGGCGAGGGGCCGCGATGGCAGGGAATGCGAGCGAGGCGGAGCTGGTTTGGAGGGGTGCGAGGAGGCGGAGGGGGGTGATGACGTAGAGGGGGGGGTTGACAGGGGTGCTGTTGACGGTGCAAGGAGGAAGGCTGGGGGCGCAGGTGGCGTTATGGCCGATTGGAATGGAGGCAGTGCGGTGGAGGGCGGTGAGGAGGATGGGGACGAGGAAGAGGGGGAGGAGGCGGAATGCGGCAGATTGCAGGTGGTGGCGAGCTGCTGGCGGAGTTGGTTGACTCGCTGCTCCTCCTGCACGCACGCACACACGCACGCACGCAGGGCACAGGCGGCCGAGAAGAAACGAGCAGCACCAGTTGACAGGTCAGCATATGCCACCTTGGATTTCGCACGCATGTCTCATGCATGTCCCACACATGCTTCACACCATCCTCACTGCTCAACAAAGGGATACCCCATCCTTCATCCCAATTGTGCAGTCCCCATGGTGCCATTGCCATCTTGCCATCCCAATCACATCGCCCCCGCATGTTCTTACCTCATGCGCTCGCTTCTGGGCGAAGGCGAGAGAGGAGAGCAGGTGGGAGCGGGAGGCGGCGAGGGCGGGCGAGGGCGCACTGCCCACGGTGAGGGCGAGGCTGGCCAGCGCTGCCAGGCGGCCCTCCGTCCACTGCACCGCCGCCTCGTAGCGGTCGCGACTCGCCTCTGCGTCGCGCTGCTCTCACATGAGGTATGCATGGACGCAGGACAGAGACAGGCGGCGGCATCAGACACCACCGAGGCGAGGGCGGAATGACGGTGCGAGGGAAGGCGCAGGGACGAGGCATGGAAGCGACAAGCATCGAAAGCTGCTCCAAACTCGTTGCCCCTTCCCCTGTCCGCCCCCACACTCACCAGCTTTTGTTCCAGTCGTGACAGTTGCTGCTCCGGCGCTTGCAACCTTGTCTTAGCGGCTGCAGCTGCAGGGGGCAGAGAGCCCGGCGCCGTGGCGCGCTCCTGTGCCGCCCCCGCGAGATGCTCCGCTCCCCTCAATGCCGCCAGCACCCTCCCCGCCACCACCGCTGATGCCGCTGCTGCTGACTCCGCCTCTGCTGCCACGGCTGCTCCTCCCCTGGCCCCTGCAGGCGATGGCAGCGCCATGCCGTACTGCCCTGCTATCCCCTTGAGCCAATCCACATGGCCGCTCCGCCGCACATCCTCTCCACCCATCTCTTGGAACCCCGCTCCTCCCACTCCCCTCCCCACCTCCTCCACACTCACCGCCCCTAGCCCCCTCTCCCCCTCCCCCTCCCCCTGCTGCTTCCCACTTGTCGCCCTGCGCCCCTCCACCACGCCCGCCACTCGCCGCCGCAGCTGCAGGCCAAGGGGAAGGAGTGGGGGGGCGGAGCACGAGGAGCGAATAGGGAGGGAGTAAGGGCGGGATGGCAGTCGAAGGATGGAGGGCACAGCGCAAGACAAGAAGCCCCTCCTTTTCGCCCTCTCCCTGCCCCCCCTCACTCTCATCCCACCCTCTCCTCACCTCTGCCTGCTGCGCCGTTGCCGCCTGCCCCTCTCGCCCCGTGCCCGCCGTGCCCCCCGCGTGCCCGCGCCTGCCCTGCCGCACCCACGCCATCATGCGCGCCACGCGCCCCTCCAGCGCTGCCACGTGCTGCTGAGCTGTCTGCTGACGTGGAGAACGACTGCTACCAATCGGACCGACGGTTGGCACGGCAACAGCAGCAACCGCCGCTACAGGCGGCAGCTGCAACGCTGCTGCCGCCTGGCAGTCTGCCTCCGGTACCGCCAGTGCTGCGGACGGCACAGGCGCCCCAGTGGGCGTAGCTGCTGTCGGAGCCTGGTGGGCGGACACGGAGATAACGGAGCGGCGGGCGGGCAGAGGACGAATAAGAACGACGAGCCAGCGGCACCAGGGATCTTGTCTACCCGCCCGCCATCATCCGCCGGACATACCGCCCCCCCGGCACTCTCACCTGCAATGCCTCCGCCTGCACGGCCTCCGCCTGCACGGCCTCCGCCTGCACGGCTTGCGCCGACATGCCCGCCCCCGCCGCCGCTGCCGCCGCCGCGGTTAGGATGAGCACGCCCAGGCGGGACGCCTGCAGGGAGGGGGGGGCGGGCGGGCGAGGGAGGGGAGGGCGTGGTTACCGGGCAGAAGGAAGGAGTTTCAGTTGACGAGGGGCGGCAGAGGAGGGCGCCCTTGGCACCACTGACGCCGCGCGCACGCACCAGGCGATTGGGGGTTGAGGGCGCTTCGACAGCGCGCAAGTCCCTTCCGAGTTCACGTGTCTCCACCGCCGCGTTCCGCCCGCCTCGTCCGCCATCGCGAGACTCTCCTCCAGCGGCGGCGCGCGGAGTGGCGGAACGGTGGAGAGCAGCGAGAAGGGATCTTGAGCGGTGGCGGTGCTGCTGGAGGGGGAAGAAGACGCAGGGGTGGCGGAACGGCTGAGCCGGAATTAGCATGCAGCGCGGCACACAAGCCAGCGGGGCGGACGAGGGGGGCATGCGGAGGAAGGCGGAGCGAAATGGAATGAGCAGCGGACGGCGACGGCAGCAGCGACTCACCACCTGGCGTCGAGGCTCAACGCCGCGTGCACTCGCAGTGCCTTGGCTCCACGCGGCGATGCCGCCGGGCGATGCCATGGCCGCTTGAAGGCCGGACCTGGGGAAGTGCAGGGGCGCAGGTGAGCGGCAAGAAGTAGCTTAGGCAACGAGCGGCACAGTGCGGAGCGGTGCGGCGAAAGTTCTATATGGTTGAGCTTCATAGCGCACCAGTAATTCGTAGAACCGGCGCCAATCAACACAGCGGAATTGTTGAACCAATGTGCGCGCAAAGAGAGGCTAACGCATGGCATGAGATAGCATGTGCGAGTGCGAGTGCGAGTGCGAGTGCGATGCGACTGCTGCCACGCACCAAAGGGCTTGCGGCTCCTCAATTCCGCATTCGCCGCCCGCCATTGAATTTGCCCCCACAAACTCTTGCCTCGTCTCCATGTATGCGCCGCACTGGGGCGGTACCCATTGCCGTGGCGCGACTGCGTGGCTCGCCATAACCGCGTTCATTCTACCGACTTGCATCTCCTACCACCGGGTTGAACAGTCTCCCCGTGCTGCAGCCAGCACTCACAGTGTGTGCAGAGGGGGGCGAGTGACAGCGAGCGGGAAAATGAGAGCGACGTTTCAGTCTGGAGCTAATTCCTTGCTCGCTTTAGATTAGGAAGGGTGAGAGACCTTCTTCGTCGTCGGTGTGGATGTAACTCAGTCGAATTCCCAGTCCAGGGGCGGAGGTCGTGAGAGTGAGTGGTTGAAGCGAGCAGCCATGGCTGGGCAGCAGCGTTGCCGAGCAGGAGGTGCATGCACCGCGACATTGCAATTTGTGTCGGACATTTATTTGCGCGCCTCACTCTCACTCGTCCCTGCGGGGCGCGAGTGGACTGCAAATTTCAGATGACGCTTCCCCGCCAATCCGCCATCCGTGCATCCCATGCCAGCACAGCGCCACATCCCCCCTATCGCGCCTCGACCCTCCTGCCTTCCCAGCCACACACGCAACCGCTGCCCACCTCTCAACTCCCCCAGCGAGGGTTCACGAACCGCAGGCATACCGACGACGATGACGAAGTTAGCGAACGGATGACCCCCGGAATTTAATACTTCCAATCTAGAATACACTCGTATTAATCAGAACCAGCAGTATACAACCTCCTTTTGCATGTCACAGCCTTACAGGCAAGGTCAAAGTCATCAATCACCCAAAGTCCAATGCTGTCCATTGCTTTTACCTTACCACCCTTCGTCAGGGATTGGGGTGGTAGCAAGGCCGGCAGCAGTGTGCCTTTGGGCACTCGCGCGGCTCCGTCGCGTGTGAAGGGTATGGAGGGCACCTCTTTGAAGTGCATTGCCTGAGTCAGAAGCACGCGCATCTGCCTCTGCTGCACGCCACTCCCGGGCTCCCCACACCCCACCTCCCCCCTGTCCATGCCCCCCTTGGCTCCACCTTTGGACGCCTGCGCACACAGCTTTGCCAGCTGGCCCCATGCTGACACTGTAGCAGCACGGGAGCGAATCACAAAATAGCTGGAGGCCACATCAGCAGTGTTGAGGTGGCCCCACATGTCCACGTCAGCAGGGATGAGCCCCTGGGCGTCCTGTGGCCATGGGTCGCCCCGCCACACGGCGTCCACGTTGCTGAGGGACACATCAAAAGCCCTGCGAAAGCGCCGCCACCACCACCTCTATGTGCCGCGCCGTCCACCAGTTGCGCCCGTCCCCCTCTGCATGCCCTCCTCCTCCTCCTCCTCCTCCTCCTCCTCCCCCCTTCCCCCTCACTGCTCCACCAGCGTCCACCTCCTCCCCTCCTCCCCTTCCTCCATCCCCCTGCACCTCCTTCTCCCTCACTGCTTCAACCCTCCCTCGCTGCCAGCTGCCCAGCCCCTGTGCCGCCTGGCGCCTGCTGATTGGCGGCAGGTGGAAGGCTGCGAGGCCACGTGCGGACAGCTCAGCTGCCAGGCTGGCATGGGGACGATGAGGACGAATGAGCGCAGGCCGCTGCCGTCCAGGTGGCAGAGCCAGTTGTTGAGCAGGTCCTTGGATCCCCGCGGCACCACCACCAGCGAGACGCGCTTGTCCTGCCAGGGAGGGGGGATGAGGGGGAGGTGGGGGCATGTACCGGGCAGAAAGCGGTAGGGGATACAGTGACTGCACGTGGGCAGCAGGGGGTGTGAGGCAGCGGCGAGCAGCAGGGCGCGGCATGGAGCAGTGCGTGAGTGCCAGTCGCATCTCTGAGCGAGGAGCACGAGCCACAGAGCGCCCGCTACAACCGGAAGCAGCGCACCTGGTGCGTGGCGGCCAGCAGCGAGTGCAGATCGTCCAGCGACCGCCCCACGGGCAGGTGCCTCAGCTGGCGCGCACACAGGTCGAAGCGCCGCACCTGCGCCATGCGCGGCAGCGCCCTCCACCCACGCCCTCACTGCGCCCTCCACCCCCCCTCCCCGCCCCCCTCCTCTCCGCCCCGCCTCCTCCACCCGTGCCCCCCCAGCTGTGCCCTCCCTCCAGGTGCGCCCATCCCCGGCAGCAGGGGCACGAGGGGGGCGTCGGCGGGGGATGCGGAGCGCTTGAGGGGAAGGCGAGGGAGAGGTTGGCGGGCAGCGGCGGGTAGAGCGAGAGCATGGCGTGGCTGTACGCCCACTTGATGGCCCACGGCGACCACCGCCGGTTGCCCTGGAAGCAAGGGGAGCAGGGGACGGAGGGCAGGAGTCTAGTTTTGAGGCGCCTGGAGCAAGGGGAGCAGGGACGGAGGGCAGGAGTCTAGTTTTGAGCGCCTGAAGCAAGGGGAGCAGGGGACGGAGGGCAGGAGTCTAGTTTTGAGGCGCCTCAAGCAAGGGGAGCAGGGGACGGAGGCAGGAGTCTAGTTTGAGGCGCCTGGAAGCAAGGGAGCAGGGGACGGAGGGCAGGAGTCTAGTTTTGAGGCGCCTGGAAGCAAGGGGAGCAGGGGACGGAGGGCAGGAGTCTAGTTTTGAGGCGCCTGAAGCAAGGGAGCAGGGACGGAGGGCAGGAGTCTAGTTTTGAGGCGCCTCAAAGCAAGGGAGCAGGGGACGGAGGGCAGGAGTCTAGTTTTGAGGCGCCTCAAAGCAAGGGGAGCAGGGGACGGAGGGCAGGAGTCTAGTTTTGAGGCGCCTCAAAGCAAGGGGAGCAGGGACGGAGGGCAGGAGTCTAGTTTTGAGGCGCCTCAAAGCAAGGGAGCAGGGGACGGAGGGCAGGAGTCTAGTTTTGAGGCGCCTCAAAGCAAGGGGAGCAGGGGGCGGAGGGCAGGAGGACGACGGGGATGGCGGACGGAGACGGCCATGGAAGCTAAGGGGTGGAGGGTAGCGATGCAATGGCGTGTCTGGCTCGACCTGAACTCCTCCTGTCCTCTCAATCTCTCCTCCCCCTCCCCCCCCCCCCACCTTATCTTTGAACCACTGCGTGGTCTTCAGTCCCCCCCACAGTCGGCTGCCGGCTGCCGTTGTAGCGTCGCTCGTCCAGCCACACGCGGAACTGCTGCCAAGGGCCGGGCAGCAGCGCCTGCCCCCACGTGCCCGTGAGGGTGTAGAGAAACGGCGCGCTGTGCGCCAGCGGGGGGAGGGGGTCCCCGCCCAGGCCAGGCACGAAGGACTGGCGCTGCAGCGAGACGCCCAGCATGTGCGGGTCGAACTCGCCGCGCCGGAAGTAGTACCGCGCCAGCAGGCGCTTCAGGTACCGGTAGTACAGGGGCGACACCACCACGTGGTCCTCCACTATCAGCGCCACGTCAGCAAGGCTCTCTGGCCACCACGCCTCCACCCACTGCCCCTGCAGCCCCGCGCTCTGCGACCGGTACATCACGCGCTTCGGCCCGTGCGGCCACGCGAACGCGTCGATCTGCGCCATCAGCGAATGGGAGGCCGCCACGCGTCTGGCGGTGCGCGGCGACCAGGGCGCGGCGTCGGCGCGCAGCGCGAAGGGGTGGTCGACGAAGACGTCGAGGTACACGGGCTCCGCGTCGTACAGCGCGTCGGCCAGCGCGCGCAGGCAGCGCAGGGCGTACGCGGGGCGGTCGAAGACCAGCACCTTCACGTGCAGGCGGAAGCGCGCCGGGTCCACCTTGCCGCCGCCCAGCCCGCCGTACGACCGCGCTACTCCCGCCGGCAGCCGCCACGCGCGACCGGGCAGCGCTACGACGCTGTCGTTGCGGTATGCTGACGTGGCTGACACCGATTGGTCGGTCAGCTGAAGCGAGCCGTCGGTGTGGCAGGGGAGGGAGGCGGCGCGCGGGGCGTGGAGGCGCAGGTCGAGCCAGATGCGCAGCGAAGCGGATAGCAGCAGCGCCGCGAAGACGATCTCCGTGAAGCGGTTGCGCTCCGTGACGGCGGACATGGCGGCCGACAGAAAGCGCGGCTTGCCGCCATCCGACGACGACGATCGCGTAGCGACCTTGGGGGAGCCGCTGTTGCGCGGCTGAAGGGACACCATACGCGAAATGTCGCAGCTTGTCACTCCTTCCGGCTCGAGCGAGGTAACGTCGGCAACATTGCTCTGGCGACCGACAGACTAAGAAGGGGTGCGTGTGGAGTGGATCGTTGAACCTGGAAACCGTATCCTACGGCGAACACTCAAGCATGGTTTGTTTTGAACATCTCAGCGTTGAAAGTTTTATCGAGGTTGGGGATGCCGTTAGAATTCGGGTAACAAACAGCAACGAACACACGAGATTTTTAGTACAGCACAGTACACGACGCTCGCATTTCGCCGAAGAGGGGGTGTCTTCAGGATTTCGCGAACCTCTTGAGGCAGGTAACGGCTGCACCGTCATATCGTCCAGGCTTGAGCTGACGGGACGTCAAATTTCGCCACGTTTTGCCAATCGATTCGCTGCCACACAAGTCTCGTCGTCAGCAGCAGCTGGAGGGACTCCCCGTCGGGCGCGGTGGCAGGAAGCAGAGGCCCGGCGAGAAGGTTTGGAGCAAGTGGCTCGGAAAGTGGCTCGGACAGGCAGGGGTGCGGTGCTCATCAATCCACCTCCACCAGTTTCGTTTCGTTCCTTTAGCCGAGCGAGCCCACTCCACTCCGGTGCAGTACGGTGCAACGCCTCCACCCCGCTGCTTCTGTGTGCTTCATCTCTCACCCATTTCAGCCACCGCTTGCAGGTCGCCAGCCCAGCCAGAGTCACACAATCTTAGGGTTTCAACTTAGTCGCCGTAGAAGCTAGTCTTTCCAGCCTAGAGTGCAGCTATGGTTGGCTGGCGACCATGGTGGCCCAAGCCACGACCGAAGCCTCATGATACGGCAGCGGAGTTTAATCCGGTGCTGCTTATACCGGGGATTGGAGGCTCTATTCTGAACGCGATCAGCAACGACGGGAAGAAGAAGGAGCGGATATGGGTCCGCCTCTATAACGCGGATCAGGAGTTTCGTACCAAGCTATGGTCCAAGTACAATCCCGAAACAGGTTAGGCCACTTCAGTGCGGGAGCAACGATTTATTCCATCCTCCAGTCCACTTACCTTCCCCTTCACCCCTTCACCCGTTCCCCGGATGTGGTGGGTGGCAGGCAAGACGGAGTCGCTGGACCGCGAGTCGCACATCGAGGTGCCGGACGACAACCACGGGCTCTACAGCTGCGACATCCTCGACCCCGATGTCGTGAGCACCGCGCCTCGAGCTTCTGCTCGCCTCCCTGCTTCTGCGAGCTGCGTGTGATTTCTTCCTTTGCTCGTGAATGCGTTCCGCTCCGTATCGCGCTCACGCCATGTTATGTGTGCAACGATCTCCTCCACCTCAGCTCACGCCTCTCTCATCTTCACAACCCCCCCCCTCACACCCCCGGCAGTCGGTACCGGTGGACGTGGTGTGCTACTACCACCACATGGTCGTCGAGATGCGCCAGTGGGGCTTCAAGGACGGCGAGTCGCTCTTCGGCTTCGGCTACGACTTCCGCCAGAGCAACCGGTCAGCCTCCGCGTCTGCTCCTGTTAACCTCTTTTTGCTTAACCTTCAACCTTACGCGCTTCAGTTCTCTTTAATTTTAATAGCTAACTGATCGAGACATTCAAGCGCTTGTCGAATTCCACCCGTAACCCTGTATCCACGTGGCAGGCTGCCCGAGACGCTGGAGCGGCTGCGCGCGCGGCTGGAGGCGATAGTGGCGGCGACGGGGCGGCGGGTGGACGTGGTGACGCACAGCATGGGCGGGCTGCTCTTCAAGTCGCTCGCCGCGCTGCACCCGGCGGACGTCAAGCGCCTCGTGCGCAAGTGGGTCGCCATCGCCGCGCCCTTCAGAGGCAAGCGGGGGGTGGGAACGTGGGCGCGGGGAAGAGCTGCGCGCGTATGGGGGAGGTGCGCGAGGGGTGCGGTGCGGATTGGCTAGGCACATCCGCACGGAGTGGTGCGGGACAGGCGTCGGTTCGGTGCATCGCTTCGCTACTCCCGTGCTGGCTGCCACTCCGCGCGCTTCCTCTCTCTCCCCATGCCTCTAATTTCCACGCATCACCGCTTCGCCTTACCACTTCCCCTTCCTCCCTCCGTGCGCGTCCCCCTTGCGTTGCGTTGCGTGTTTGGCCGTGCGGCAGGCGCGCCGGGGTTCATCATGGACACGCTGCTGACGGGCGTGGAGTTCCTCAAGGGCTGGCAGAAGTCGCTCTTCATCTCCAAGTGGACCATGCACCAACTGGTATGGACCATGCACCAGCTCGTCCGTGCCTCTCTCTCGTTATGTACCACTCGTGGCTGTATTATTCACTGGCGTCCTGCACCTACTTCCCCCACCCGTTGCCTTTCTTGGAACACCGCATCCTCGTTATTGCTCATCCATCCCTTGCACCTGTGACCGCGCCATCCCCACGCCCTCGTGCACGTCTCGTGTGTGGCGCGGCAGATGGTGGAGTGCCCGTCGGTGTACGAGCTCATGGCGGACTACGACTTCCACTGGGGCGGCAACAAGCCCGAGCTCAGGGTCGTGCGCCGCCGCCCGGGGGACAACAAGGTGCAGGGCGCGCAGGAGGGGAGGGACGGTGGAGGGGCCGCGTGTGGCGGAGGGGACGCTGAGGGGGCGGCGAAAGCGAGAGCGAGAGCGGCAGCGAGAGCGGCAGCAGCAGCGACAGCGCGAGCAGCAGCGGCGAGGCGAGCAGCGTGGCGGACACGCTGTCGCTGTCGGGGGGTGGCAGCCCGGAGAGAGCTGCTGGGGAGGGAGCGAAAGAGACTCTGCTGGGCGGCGGTGTGAAGGAGGGCCTATTGGGCGAGGGCGTGGTGGAGCAGCGCTTCACACACCTGCCGGACATCCTCGACGCCATGGACCGCGCGCTGCAGGACAACAAGGTGAACGGTTGGGTGTAAGGCGGGCTGTGGCTGCTGCCAGGCGCTTGCTAAGATTTGCTGTTTCTCCACCCGGACTTGTCACGCCATGTGCATCTTACATTCCTAACGTTGCATGCTGTGCCCCTTGCATCATGCTGTGCCCCTTGCATCGGAGCGAGCAGATCGAGGTGAACGGGCGCACCGTGCCGCTGCCGTTCAACCGGGACATCGTGCGGTGGGCGGACGAGACGCGGCGCATCTGGGCCAAGGCGCGCCTGCCTCCGTCTGTGGACTTCTACACCATCTATGGCACGGGCCTCGACACGCCCTTCCACTCGCAGTATGCCCCTCGCCTTTGCTTACCTTCTCCATCCGTACTCATTCTCCCAACATGGTCTCTCCGTCCTCCAATTTCCATCGGTCGTGGCCCTCACACTCGCGTATCGTACTGCTCTCTCTCCCCCTCCCCCCCGCGCCCCCCGACTGCAGGTACGGCTCCCCCAAGGACCCGCTCAACGACCTGCCCGACATCCTGCACTCCGATGTGAGCCGCTGCTCACCCACCCCTTCCAATCTCTCCTGCGTTGTGTGCGCTGTGCGCTGTGTCTGTGCTGTGCGCTGTGTCTGTGCTGTGCGCTGTGCTGCGTCCCCGCTTCTGCCTGCCTTGTGAGGCGCCTCACAAGTCGTCCCCGCTTCCGCCCGCCTTGTGCCCCGCCTGCCTCTGGCGCTCCCCACACTTGGAGCCTCTTCCAACCTGTCTTCCCCTCTCGCCCTTCCCTCCCACCTGCCGCTGCTATCCATCAGGCCACCTTTGACTGCGTGCATGGCGACGGCACTGTTCCCATCGAGTCCGCCCTGGTAAGCTGCTTTGCCCGTGCATGCACTCCGTCTGTC